TCTAGAAAAATCTAAGAGAATCGTTGTAACCAATTCAGCAAGATTGGTCTTTATTTATGATCCACTTACTAAAATCATTAGTATTCCGATGCCCAGTAGTAAATGTAACAAATATAGTGAACTCAAAGCTAGCCCTGTCGTATCATTTCACTCATGTTTTCTGGGTGGAAAGGAAAAGTTGGCATGCTAGGAATAAACTAGATTGTCTTGTCTAAGACACAGTGCAAATTCGCGCTGTACCCTTGGAAAAGTATCAGATATGTGAAAGTCTCCAGCCCAATATCAGAGCAGAAAAAAAATGCTGAGAACTGCTCTTTCCTTCAGATATTCCGCATGGCATCAGGTCATTCATTCATTTACGCAGTATTTCTTGAGCTTCTCTCAAAAGGGTACAGCCCTTTTCCCGTGGGACTTACATTCTAAAGATGGGCATTTCTTTTTAATCCCGACGGTGATAAATGCTATGAAGAAAACAGGGTATGAGTATGGAGAGAGACATTGAGGTGGGCTCCTTACCGAGGAGCTGTGTTTGAGCTGAGCTCTGAATGTGGTCCAGAGGGATGAGCTCACGTGGCGCTAAGGGAACAGTTAGGGTCAAGGATGAGAGGTGGGCAGAGGCAGTGGGTCTAGAGCACAGAGCGATGGGGCGGGGGGGGAAGCAGCAGAGCCTGGACCACACAAGGCCCGGTGGACAGTAGTTAGAGGTGTGGTTTTTGTTCTAAGAATAAATAGAAGTCAAAGGATTTTAAGAAGGGGAAATGGGCTCTAAGACATATTTTTAAATAGAAGCAGAGAGAGTGATCTTAGGCTCTTGCAGTGACTCAAGTGATAAATGATGGTGGTTAGGACCAGGGTACTATCGATGGAGGTGGTGTGAAGCTGTTTAATATGTTAAATAAAAACTCTGGAGCCAATTGCACTTGCTGGCAGATTGGACACTGTGCTGTGTTAGGAAAGAGAATAGAAGATGAGTCCTGGACTTGGGTTCTAAGCCCCCGGGAGAACGGTAAGGATCCGTGAAGAAGCAGAGAAGGGACTGGTTTATTCAGAAGAGGAATCAACGTGCAGAGGGAGACAGACTTGCTCGGTGTGGGTCCAGAGAGAAGTACGGGCCGGGCTCAGCATCAGAAAGGACTTCAGGAACATTTGGCGTCTGCTGGGGGACCCTCGCTCTGCAGAGTAGTAGAGGTGACCCCTTATGCGTGGATATCTGGCTAAACAGATACTGAGGTTTCCCAGCCCTAAAATTCATAGCTCATTTTGGTAAGTCAAGATAAAGCTCCCAGCAGCACCCTGAGGGTCCCCAAACTCTGCACAAGGACCGTTAGCCACGTCCGGCTGTTGGCAATTAGAGTCTTAGTTCAATAAAGTGACTTGCCTGTCCCACTATTAAAAAAAAGAAAAAAAAAAGCATTGGTGGCATGTTGATTCCACATCCCAAGCACACAGAATCATGGCCAGTGAACTTTAACGTGTGCAGATACGTGTGCCAAGACCCGCTGAATAACTCTGTTCAAAAAACAAACAAACAAAACCTGGGTTTTTTTCTTTCCAATTTAAATTTCATGGGAGCTGCTTGTGTACTATTTGTCTCCCTTTCCACTGGCTGGGACGGGCACTGCTCTAACATCTGTCTTGTGGTCATGTTTTATGGGGTGTTTGAGGATCGTGCACCTGACATGACACTGGAATCTGGGGACGTGGCTGTCTTCAGATGCCAAATGAACTTGGATAGAAACCACTCTCCGTGCGTGTGTTTACAGCAGGGAACTTGGAGCCGAGAGGGGCTCCCTGGACACAGCTGTCCTGGCTCTCAGCTATTACTCAGTCCTCAAGTGTTCTCCTGGTCCCACTCTGCACAGCACCGTGCGCAGGGGGTTAATTCCTCAGGCAGCACCATCGAAGAGGTGGGAGGGGCCAGCCACAGGCTTTGTTGTAGCTTCTGTTTTATCTGAATTTAAAACGGGACCCTTCTCCAGCCAGTCTTTTTTCCCCACCACGATGGATGGATGGATGGATGGATGGATGGATGGATGGATGGATGGATGGATGGATGGATGGTGTACAGTGACGCTTGATTTCATGGTCAAAGAATTCAAACAATAGAGAAATACACAAAGACCCAAAATCTTACTACCCTTCCCTAAAGTAACGACACTAAAGATTGAACTGTGTGTTTCAGATTTAACACGTATTTACATAGAAATAAATGTATATAAACATATGCATTGAGGGTTTGTTTTCTATAAAAGGAGGATCACATATCGTTCATGAGTTTTTATCCCAACTCTGTGTTTAGAAGATCCTTCCATTTTAACACAAACAGTAACCTCATCCTTTTTAACCATTGGAGGTGCTGTGACTAATTTACACACTCCTTACAATTAGACATTTGGGGTTATTTCCACTGCTTCTGCTTCTGTAAATTCTGTGTGTGTGTGTGTGTGTGTGTGTGTGTGTGTGTGTTCTAATTGGAATGATTTGAATTCAATTTTAAGAGACTGTCTTGAGCTATAATTAGTGTGGCCCAGTCCCAGGCGGGAGTATTTCTGTAAAAGGGATTCGTAGAAGAGGAATTACTGAGCCCTAGGGTTGTGTGTACCTTAAACCTTGATCCACACAGCTGTACCAGCTTACAGTCTTACTAACAGTACCTGGATAGTCCCGTTCCCCAGACCCTCACCAGTACCAGACTTTACCCATATTTTCAGTATTTGGTGATCTCATTACTTACTGTATATGCCGTAATTACTCAGTTACTCGTGAGCACGAGTACCTAGAGGGGGGATTCATAGGTCATGAACGGCCAGTTCTCATCTCTTGCCTGTTTTTACATTGGGCTGTTTCTCTTTTCCACATTGTTTTACAGCATATTTGTATAGTATGAACTGTAACCTTTTGTGATAAATATAAGATCCTCTCTGTCTCTTATGTTTGTTTATGGTGTTTTCTATGGGTTTTAATTTTTTTTTTTTTTTTTTTTTTGTGGTATGCGGGCCTCTCACTGCTGTGGTCTCTCCCGTTGTGGAGCACAGGCTCCGGATGCGCAGGCTCAGCGGCCATGGCTCACGGGCCCAGCCGCTCTGCGGCATGTGGGATTCTTCCCGGACCGGGGCACGAACCCGTGTCCCCTGCATCAGCAGGCGGACTCCCAACCACTGCGCCACCAGGGAAGCCCTAATTTTTAATTATTATTCTGGATGGAATCAAATACCTCCGTTTCTCCACAGCACCTACACTGAGGTTTCACTTAGGAAGGTTTCCCTACCCTGAATTTTAAACTCATCTCCTGTCTCTATTAATACTTTCATAGTTTTTTAATGTTTAGAGCATTAATCCATCTGTAATGCAGTCATTGTGGGATATGAGGGATCATCCCATCTCTTTAATAACTTAGCTATTCTCCACTGATTTTTAATGCTCCCTTGAATCAGCTCTTAAACTCCCACATATGCACGGGTGGGTTTCTGGAGTTTGTTCTCTTCCACTGATCTATTTATCTATTCTGTGCTAATTACCTGTTTTACTACCGTAATTTTATAGTATGTTTCACTATCTAGTATGTCAAATTCTCTCGCATTCTTCTTTTTCAATTGTCTTCCCGTGCATTTTTCCCCCATATGAACTTCAGAAGAAGCATGTCAAGTTTTTTTTTAAACAAACATTTGGAATTTGGGGATTATATTGGATTTTTAGATTAATTAAGAAAAAGCATCATCCTTTTGGCAGTCTTCTCTGGCTTTCGAAAATGACATCCTGTCAGAAATCTAAATGTAAAAATTGAATCAACAGGTTTTTTAAAACCTGGAAGAAAATATGGCTGAATTATTTTATAACCAGGTATAGGGAAGCCTTTCTACCTGTGATTCAAAATCCAAATGCAATAAAAGATTGATGTAATTTGAATATATAAATAAACGTTTGCATAAGAAAAGTCGAAAGGCAAGCAACAAACAGAAAATATATGCAACACAAATCGTGAATAAAGGACTAATAACATTAAAATGTAAATCATAATAATACTTCAGTGTTGTAGAGAGAGTTAAGTGGTATGCTGGGTATCAGTAATAACTGTTAAGGTTCTATTGTATGTATTATTAATTATAATTATATAATGTATATAATATATATAGCAAACATTAATGATCCTCTGACATTCAGCTACCAGGTCAGACCGCCTTGTGGAAGTGCATTTGTAGTGGGAGGGCTGTGATTAAATTCTGGGGCACTGGCTTGAGCTATAACTAAGATAAGCTATTTTTTAAATTTTATTCATAAAAGAAACCCATTTTTTCTGCTTTGTATCTCACAACCGCCAAAGCTTTCCATGTCCCATTGCTCGTCACCCTGACTTCTTCAGGTCCTTCAAATATACAGTCATTGTTCACCCTCTGGATAATAATACTAATCAATAAGTTAACTTTAATTTGTCAGTCGGTCAGCACCGACAGTCCACTGCACACCTCTCTCATTCTAACAGCAGCAGAAGGGCCGGAAGCAGTCAGCCGTCCGGCATTAAGGGTAAAAGGCCTGCCTGGAGGCGGCTGCAGGCACAGCTGTGTTGGCCTCTTCCCCTGCACCTGTGGCTCATCCTGGGCCAGGGCCCTTCATGGGATTTTCATGATTTACCTCTGCCTTGTACCAAAGAGTACTTGCTGTAGCTGAGATTAGAATTTGGATCTCCCACATCGTGGACTGGGCAGACTTTCCTGTCTACTAGAACGTTCTGCCATGAAGGGCATGCCCTGTGTGTGCTACATCTAATAGGATACGTGACGACTGAGCCTTTGAGATGTGGCTGGTGTGACTGAGGAACTGAATCATTGATGTGATTTTGCTTCATTTTAAATAGCCACATGTGCCATATGGACCTGTGGACATACGGACCGTGCTGCCCAGGACCACTGACGATTTTACATATGATTTGCTTATCTGTGATGAGTTTGTCGTCTTACCACATGCTGGCCATTGTCAGTGCTAACCTGCTTCTCTTCCTCTAGATTCAGTCACTCAGCACAAGGTCTTTGCCTCAGAGAACCACCCGCTGCTGCCGTGAAGGAGACACCGCTCAACCCGTGGCTGCTGCTAACAGCCCGCCCCGGCGTCCTCAGACGCTCAAGTGAGGGGAGGGGTGGACGCAGGAAGGATGCCTTTCTCCACCGTCACGTCTGCCGCCTGTGTGTGTTGTGGTTTTCACATGAAGAAAGCTCCTTTGTGTGGCTTTCTGATACCTGAGTGTGTGTCTCAGAGGAGCACTGACCCGCCCTGTTGGGCCTTTTCTATTAAAGCCAGTCTGTGTGTCCTAGTTATGATCATAATTGAGAGGTCCCAGAATGGAAATTACATTGTTCTATTACCGAGAACAAAGAGCCCCCTGACCTTCTACGTTTCTTTATTAACGTATCATCTACCCGGTGTGAAGGATGTTGGTCCGTTATCACCTTATGTACCTGAGATTCTTCTCAATAGTGAGGACAGGTGTGAGGAGCCGCAATTAATGATAATTAGCGCCATCAAAGTAGCCCCGCTTCTGCAAGCTTGGTTTCTGGTGAGGAGAGCCTCACCCACAGGAGACCAGGGCCTCTGCAGGCCACCGGGATGCTCGCCATCCCCTGCAGGAAACGGGCATTCGGGCCAAATCGTACCCACGCTGGCCGGTCACCTTGTGTAGGAGAGAGATGCTAAATCCCAGCAGGGCCGAAGGTGCCAGTTAGACGCCCTCGTGGTACTGTTCCCTCCGTGTTGTTTATCTGTCACTCATCTCAGCTGCTCTTTCTACCTCAAATAAATGTCAAGTCCCTCAGCAAATACGAGGGATCAACTTCTAGAATAACCCTCCTAGAAGGGCAGTAACGATGCACGTGGAAATAATGAAGGGTTTCCTCTTGGTGTTAATATAACGTATACCCCAAGTCCCCTCATAATACTCCTGCCTCAACAACGTTGAGCCTCAGTGCAGCTCGGCAGGCCGGAGGCCTTCCTCCCACCTTGTGAATCCCGTGTCACTACACCCACTGCCTCCTGGGCTTGGCGACTCGGAGGCTCAGGTATCAATACTATGGCAGAGCTCCCATCGCACCCAAAGTTCCCGAGGCAGCTGACAAAACTGTGCTGACTCCCGGTGGAGGCAAGCCACAAAGAACTCCATCCCACGGCCACATCAGCCAGAGTGCCACCCAGGTCACATGTCCACCCAGGCCTGCATCCTCACAGCTAAGATTCCTGATGCCAGCCTGCCAGGAGCCACTGAAGATTCTCTCTCTAAAAGCTAATCTCTTATGAGCACACTGATTTGTGCCTGGCTTTAAGCATTTTATATGTGGTACCTCATTTAATCCTGCCAACAAGCCTAAAAGTTAGTTACTAGAGATTTGCAACCCCTTACCCAAAACACATACAGCTAAAAGTGTCTCAGAATTCTGAACTTTTTTTTTTTTTTTAATTTTGAAAGGTATGTGGCTCTCACCACTTCTATTCAACATTATATCAGAGATTCTACTGAGAGAAGAAGGCCAGGAAAGGAATTAAGGGCATACAGACTGGAAATGAAGAAGTAAAACTATTCTCAGATCACATGATACTATATGTAGAAAATTATAAGGAATTAAAGAAAAAAGTAGATTAAGCATGTTTAGCAAGATTACAGAATACAAAATCTATATACAAAGCTAACTGAATTGTGTTTCTATATACTATCAATAAACAATTCAAAAATAGAATTAAGAATACAATTCCAGTTACAATATCATGTAAAAATAAACTAAATAGGAATAAATTTAACAAAAGAAGTATAAGATCTGTATACTTAACAAAACATTTCTGAGAGAAATTAAAGTTCTAAATAAATGGAGAAATATACCAAGTTTATGGATTAGAAGACTCAATAAGATGGCTGTTTTCCTCGAATTGATCTACAAATTCAATGTAATCATCAAAATACCAGGTAGATGTTTTTATAGACCTTGAAAAGCTGATGCTAAAATGTATATGAAAATGCAAAGAACCCCTAGTAGAAAAAAGTAATTTCTTTAGAAAAAGAAAGTTGGGGGATTTATACTACCTGATTTCAAAACTTATTGGCATAGAGGTAGACTACAGATCAAGGGAAGAGAATAGAGACTCTAGGTATAAATCATATTTATGGTCAAGTTGATTTCAAAAAAGGTGCCAAGTCAATTCAATGCAGCAGGATAAAACAGAACAAAAAACAGAAAGAAGCACACTTACATCCTTATCACACTTACGTCCTTACCTCACACACACAAAGAAAATGCACAGGGATCCCTACCTCACACCATACACAAAAGTTAACTCAAATGGACCAGAAACCTAACTTAGGGTTTCTCAACCTCAGCACTATTGGCATTTTTGGACCAGATAATTCTGTGCTGCAGGGGCTGTCCTGGGCATCATACTATGTTTAGCACCATCGCTGGCCTCTATCTATTAGATGCCACTAGTACACCTCACCCAGTTGCGACAGTCCAGACTGTCTTCAGATACCCCCAAATTTCCCCTGGAGAGCAGAACCGTTCCCAGCTGAGAACCACTGACCTAAAATTATAAAATGTCTAGAAGAAAACATAGCAAGAAATCTTCTGAAAGGTCAAAGATTTTTTTAGGTAGGACACTAAAGGCACAATTCCTAAAAACATAAATTGGACCTCAAAGTTTTAAAAAGTTTTGCTGTTCAAAAGAAACCATTAAGAAACTTAAAAGACAAGTCAGAGACCAGGAAAAATATTTGTGAAGCATATAGCTGATGAACTGTATCCAGACTATGTAAAGAACTTTTATTCATTAACAAGAAGATAAAGAATGGGCAAAAGACATTTCACACAAAAACATATAGAAATGATTAGTAAGCACATGAAAAGATGCTCAACATTATTAGTCATTAGAGAAACGCAAAGTAAGAACACAAGGAGATGCTACTACGCACCCTCGGGCACGGCTGCAGCCGACAGTTCTGACAACACAAGAGTTGACCAGCATGTGGAGAATCTAGGACTCCCATGCACTGCTGGTGTGGCTGCATCATTTTGCAGTTTGGTTTAAAAACGAAACAGACGCTTGCCATATGACGCAGCAACTTCACTCCTAGGTATGTACCCAAGAGAAATGAAAATGTGCCTGCACGAGGACTTGGACGCAAATGTTCACAGCAACGTTATTCACACCAGCCAAAAGCTAGAAGCAGTCCATCAGCTGATAAATGGATACCCAAAATGTGCTATACCCATACCATGGATTGCTCCTCAGCAATAAAAGGGAGCAAACAACTGATACAGGCAACATCCTGGACCAACCCCAAGAAGCCAGACACAAAAGACTACATATCGTATGATTCCATTTGGACAAAATTTCTAGAGGAGATAAAATTATAGAGACAAACAGATCACTGGTTTCCTGCTGCTGGGGGTAGAAGTGGGAATAGACAGCAGACATTTTGGAGTGTTGGAGATAGTCTAAAACTCGATTGTGATTTTAGTTGTAAAACTGTATACATTTACTAAAATCGTTGAACAGTACACTTGCCATGGGTAAATTTTTATGGTGCATGCATGAATTATACACCAATAAATTAAAAAAAAAAAACTATGTGGCAACCTTGGAGCTGTGCTTCTCGGATCCCACTTTAAGAAAGAATCTTCTAGGACTTCCCTGGCGGCGCAGTGGTTAAGAATCCGCCTGCCAATGCAGGGGACACGGGTTCGAGCCCTGGTCTGGGAAGATCCCACATGCCGTGGAGCAACTAAGCCCGTGCACCACAACTACTGAGCCTGCGCTCTAGAGCCCACAAGCCACAACTACTGAGCCCATGAGCCTAGAGCCTGTGCTCCGCAACAAGAGAAGCCACCGCAATGAGAAGCCTGTGCACCGCAATGAAGAGTAGTAGCCCCCTTTGGCCACAACTAGAGAAAAGCCCACGTGCAGCAGCAAAGACTCAGTGCAGCCAAAAATAAATAATTTTTTATAAAAAAAGAAAATCTTCTGCTCAGCTGGAATGAATACAGTTAGCTGAGGGCTGTTAGTGCCTTGAAGATCCACCTCAGGGCTTCCCTGGTGGCGCAATGGTTGAGAGTCCACCTGCCGATGCAGGGGACACGGGTTCGTGCCCCGGTCCGGGAAGATCCCACATGCCGCGGAGCGGCTGGGCCCGTGAGCCATGGCCGCTGAGCCTGCGCATGCGGAGCCTGTGCTCCGCAACGGGAGAGGCCTCAACAGTGAGAGGCCCGCGTACCGCAAAAAAAAAAAAAAATCCACCTCAGTTTTCAAGCCAAGGCCACTCTCTTCCTGGGTGGTCATCCCCGGGCAAGAATCGGGCCCAGCGGGCATCAGGGGCTTGGCCAATTCTGCTAATATAAGACCCCTGACAGGCACCCGGGCTCCAGAACCTCCGTCCCCACCTGCAGTGTCTGAGGCGTCTCCTCCATCGTCTCTTCCTTCCTCCTGTCCTGTCACAGCTGCGTCCGCAAGCGCTGCTTGAGAATCCTGCTTCCTCCCGTTTTTATTTTTCTCGGGAGTTACTCCCAACAAACCTCTTGCTCTCTTAACTCCCATCAGTGTCAGCTACCCGAGGCCCCCCCACCCCCACCAGCAAGGACTGGGATGCATGTGACCCCCCCCCAGGCACTCAGGGGCAGCAACCTGCAACCTCACATTTCCTCCGTGACACACACCACAGGAGTGGGACACAGAAAACTATTGAGCATCTCGTGTGTTCGGGTCAGATTTTGTTTGCCTGTAATTCAAAAAACCCCTCTATTTTAGTGCCTTTGGATTTGGGAATTGTGGATTAGGGACTGTGGGACTTGTATTCTTATCTGTGGACACTCTGCTTTTTGGCGATATTACAGCACCAGTGGATGGAAGGACTGGGGTTTGAACACGGAGTCCCTACATGGGACTGCAAGCTCGTCAGGCTTAACTGCAGCTCTGAGAATGTCCAATGGACTGGTAATGATGGATTTTTAAAACGTTTACTAATGCCTACCACGTGCAGGTAACTACCCTCATGAAACACAGGTCCTTAAACTCAATCAACGTGTTTCCAAGAAGCTGTAATTAGCGGTTGTTTTCAGCCTTTGTTAAATGGCAAAACCCTTTAAGTGAGGTTGCATGAAAGTTGAAATAGATACATCAAGTGGCAACAGAACTGCTCCAGTTAAAGAGTGGGGAGGGAAGAGAGGGTTCCAGATCCTTGCCCAAAGATCCATTCCTTCGTCCCCATGGGATCACCTCCGCAGTGCCTCTGTGGGTACTTATGGGCTCATCTCAGAGCCACTACATCTGGTCCAATCCTCCCCTTCACTTGCAGAGAAGCT